TTGTCCGAGTTATTTGGCGGCGGGGAGGACGGGGAAGGTAGGGGAGGATGAAGGATGCTTGGTGCGGTACGAGAGGTGCAGTTTATCCGGAGGTGTACAATAAGACATATTCGTGCGCGGATTGTCCGTTGACATCGAAGACACGTTGGAATCGATTGTGCGTCTGCGATGCGAAGAGGGCGCAGATTTGATATGCAAGCTTCGCGTTTCACTTTGGCAGCGGCGATGCAGTTGTCTTCATAGATCGCAGCAACTGTCTTCACTGTCCTCCTCCAGGTAGGACGGTTTTGTGACAGGTCATCCTAATTGGTCGGGTAAAAATGCAAACGGTTCAGGAAAGACATAAGAGTATCCAGTAAACGACAAATTCGGCGTCATTGGCGGCGAGAACCCGACGCGACGTCTCCGTAGAAGAGTCGTTGGGGTAGTCCCTCGTCGTCCATGCGCACCAGGTGGCCGCTCCAGCGCAGCTGCATTTGTCTCAGCATGGTCTAGATTCTGAGGATTACCGTCCGATCCACTACATCGGTGTCATGGATTCGATCCTGCCAGTTCAGACTCAGGATGCGACGGAGGCAACTGAGGTAGAAGTGGTTCAGTCGACGTGCCTGTTTTGTGTACACCGTCCAGGTCTCCGCTTCATATAGTAGCGTCGTCAGGATGACGGCCATGTACATCTTCAGCTTCGTGCTCAGTTGGAGTCCATAACGATTACAAACTGTGCTTCGGAGGCGGCTGTAGGCTGAACTAGCTTACGGAATCCTGCGGGCCACTTCGTCATCGATTTTGGTGTTACAGGATAGGGCACTGCCCAGGTATGGGAATTTATCCACAAATTGTAGATGGGTGACGTTCAAGCTGATTTGCGGAGATAGCGCGTTGGGTTGTGCGGCTGAGTTGGGTGGCCGTTGGTGCATCAACACCGTCTTCTGCGTGTTGTTTACCAAACCGAAGCTCTTGCAGGCGGCGGAGAAAAGGTCCATGCTCCGTTGCATCTCCTCTTCCGAGGTGGTGTTCAGGGCGCAGTCATCGGCGAAGAGGCGTTCGTGGACGATGGTTGTGAATACGCGTGATCGGAAGTGCATCCGCCGTTGATTCAGGAGGTGACCATCCGGCCTGTTGGCGATGCGGATACCGGGGCGTTCGTCGCGGTAGGCGTCCATCAGCACTGCAGAGAGCATAAGAATGAAGAGGGTAGGTGCCAGCACGCATCCCATTCTTCCATTCATTGCGGCCCGCGTAGCCTTGAATCACCACAGCCTTGGGAGCAGTCCAGGCGTCCTGCATCTCGCGCAGACGTTGCCGAAGTTGGCGGCGACTGCGGTATAAGTGGCTCTGTTATCGTCAGTGGGGTGATCTACACAGGCTTTGTGTAGGCAGTTCATCTCGACAAGCAAATTGCTGATGACCGCGACGTTGTCGTCGAACCGGTCCTGGTGTGAGCAGCGTGCGCAACCGAGGAACGATGGCAGTGGAAGAACGACTCGAATTTGCCAATGGCTTACGACACTGCCGTAAGCCGGTGGTCTCCTACGGTGCACCAGATGGGCGCGAGTCAGCGATGCCGATTAGAAGATCATCCCACCGGGCAGCTTTTTTGTCTTCAGTGGGGTGATCTACGTAGGCTTTGTGTAGGCGGTTATTCTCAGTGGTGGTGGTGGTGGTGGTGGTGGTGTTGGTGGTGGTGGTGGTAGGGGTGGTGATGACGGTCCAGTACAGTACAGTCTCCTCCATGTCGGACGATCGCGGGCGAGCTCTACCCAGTTGGTCGGGTTGAATTGCAGTAGCTTCAGAGAGGACTTCAGGGTATCCTTGTTACAGCGAATTTGGCCTCCTTGACGACTAGAACCCGTCGCGACGTCTCCGTAGAAGAGTCGTTTGGGTAGTCGCTCGTCGTCCATGCGCACCAGGTGGCCGCTCCAGCGCAGCTGCATTTGTCTCAGTATGGCGTAGATGCTGAGTATTCCCGTTCATTCCAGTACTTCCGTGTGGGGATTCGATCCTGCCAGTTCAGCCTCAGGATGCGACGAAAACAACTGAGGTGAAAGTGGTTCAGACGGCGTGCCTGCCTCGTGTACACCGTCCAAGTCTCCGCTCCATACAGTAGCGTCGGCAGGACGACGGCCTTGTACATCTTTAGCTTCGTGGTCAGTTGAAGACCGTGGCGATTCCAAATTGTGTTTGGAGGCGACCGAAGTCGTGACTGGCTTTCGAGATCCTGTTGGCGACTTCGTCATCGATCTTGGTGTTCCGGGATAGGGTACTGCCCAGATACGGGAAGTTCTCCACCACCTGCAGTTTGGTCCCATTCACGCTGATTTGCGGCGGCGCGTTGGGGGCTTTGGCTGAGTTGGGTGGCGGTTGGTGCATCACCACTGTCTTCTGCGTGTTAATGATCAGACCGAATTTCTCGCAGGCGGCGGAGAACAGGTCCATGCTTCGTTGCATCTCCTCTTCCGAGGTAGTGTTCAGGGCGCAGTCGTCGGCGAAGAGGATTTCGTGCACTGTGGTTGTGGATACGCGCGATTGGAACTGCATCCGTCGTTGATTCAGGAGGTGACCGTCCGTCCTGTAAGCGATGTGGATTCCCGGCCGTTCATCACGGTAGGCGTCCATCAGCATGGCAGAAAACATAAGACTGAAGAGGGTTGGTACCAGCACGCATCCCTGCTTCACTCCGTTGGTCACTGCGAATGCCTCTGAGACAGCTCCGTTGTCCGTGACTCGCGCCATCATACCGTCGTGCAGCTGACGCACCATCTGAGTGAATCGCTTCGGACAGCCGAATTTCTGCATGATCTTCCACAGTCCTTCACGATTCACCGTGTCCAAGACATTAGTCAGGTCCACGAATGTAGAGTACATGTGGGTCCGCATCTCCGGACACTTCTCCTGTAGTTGTCGGGAGGCGAAGATCATATCAGTTGTCCCACGATGACGAAGGAAGCCGCGTTGGCTTTCCGACAGAAGGCCCTGTTCCTGATGGTTAATGAGGCGGTTGAGAGGAATGCGAGCTAAGATCTTCCCGGAGATGTTCAGCAAGGAGATGCCACGGTGATTGTCGCAGACATGACGATTCCCTTTTCGCTTGTAGAGATGAACGATGGTGGAGTCTTTGAAATCTTGCGGGACTTTGCCTTGACTCCACATCTCCTGGAAGAGCGCAGTCAGGTGATCCATCAGTTGGGGACCTCCGTGCTTATAGACCTCAGCAGGGATTTCGTCCGATCCGGGTGCTTTCCCGCTGTAGAGCTGTTGCACGGCTCTGATGGTCTCCTGGAGAGATGGCGGGAGGTCGAGGTTCACGTTGGTCTCCACTTGCGGCAAATGCTCGATGGCGGCGTCGGAGATGACGGAGGGGCGGTTGAGGACGCCTCGGAAATGCTCGGCCCATCGCTGTAGGATTTGTTCTTCTCAGTCAGGAGAGTACTGCCGTCGGCGCTGAGGAGAGGAGCAGTGCCCTTTCTTCGGCGGACCGTAGACAGCTTTAATCGCGGAGAAGAAGTTCTTCCATTCGTTGCGGTCCGCGTACCCTTGGATCTCCTCAGCTTTACGAGCAGTCCAGGCGTCCTGCATCTCGCGCAGACATTGCTGAAGTTGGCGGCGACTTCGGTAGAAGGCAGCTTTTTTGTCTTCAGTGGGGTGATCTACGTAGGCTTTGTGTAGGCGGTTATTCTCAGTAAGCAGATTTCTGATGGCGGCGTCGTTGTCGTTGAACCAGTCCTGGTGTTGGCGGGGAGCGCGACCGAGGACGGCGAGCGCCGTCGACTGGACCGTGTCTCGCAGTTGACACCAGCGGTTCTCCACGGAGGCGTACTCGGCAGCGGCGGCATCTGCATTGGTGAGGCTGTCGAGCCGTTGAGCTAGCTCATTGCTAAAATGAAGATGGTGAGCGGGCAAAGACAACAAGGCAACATTCAGCTTACCTGGGGTCGCTTACCTTGTGGTCTCCTGCGAGGCTGTAGGCGAATACGCATTTCGAGATAACGAGGCGATGGTCGGTCCACCCGTCAGCACCCGCGATGGCCTTCGTCACCAGCACGTCCCGCTGATCTCGCCTCCGGACGAGGACGTAGTCCAGCAGGTGCCACTGGCGCGACCGAGGATGCCTCCAGGTGGCTTCTCTCGCTCCAGCAGACACAAGAACGTGTTATTCAGGATGAGGCGGTGTTCTGCGCAGGTGCGGAGAAGCAGCAGGCCGTTGTCGTTTGAGCCGCAGCGACCGTGGGGACCCAGCATTCCCCTCCAGGCAGTATGGTCTGTGCCGACGCGGGCGTTGAAGTCGCCAAGGACAATCAACTTGTCCGCCTTCGACACAGTCGCCAAGAGGGCTTGCAGGTCCTCGTAGAATTTGTCTCTGACGGCGTCGGAACTGGTCGTCGGCGGAGCGTAGGCGCTGATGATGGTGGCGAATTCGCCCCTACCCCCGATCCGGAGAGGCAGACGGAGGCTCATCAGGCGATCGTTGATGCCCTGCGGCAAACAGGGCAGTCGTCCCACGATGTCGTTCCGGATGGCGAGGGCGACACCCGCGTCTCGTCGCTCTGCCTTGGGTCGATCACTCCAGAAGAGGGTGTAGCCGGCACCCACCTCCTCCAGTTGGCCTTGTTCGGAGAATCGGGTCTCGCTGAGTGCGGCGATGTCCACCTTGTAGCGCGCCAGTTCTCGTGCCACTAGCGCCGTCCTCCGTTCCGGTCGGTTGCTCCTCGGATTGTCCAAAAGGGAACGAACATTCCAGGCTGCCAGAGTGAGAGGACTCACCCTGCCAGTCTGGTGACAACGAGTGGCGCGACGGGAAGGAGGTGGAGAGGAAAGTGACGAAGGAGAAATATAGGCAGAAGAATAGACGGATGTAGAGGAAGAAGAGGTAGGATGAGGAGAATGAGTATGATTGTTGTTGTTTTTGGTATCGTTCTTGTTTCGATTTTGAGTTTTTTGACCGTGTGATGACATCTGCGGCCTTGGCTAGCCTGCAGACGTCGTTGTGCCCAGCATTTTTTAGGCCACCTTTTCTAGGCCCTTCGCCTTGTTGGGGCAGACAGTGCCGCCCGTTAATCGGGCTGCCTTTGTGCCTGGTTGTCGCGACCGATCCCACTATGGGGCTACGACTTTTATGTTCGTAGTGGAGGACGACCGCATATGCCTTGAGTCCGCGGTTGCCCGGGGTGCGGCCGCTGAGCAGAGCCCAACTACGTGGAGCCACAGGTGAGAGTTGGGTGCCAGCAAATGTACGCTGGGTGTAGTCTCACCTGCGAGCATGTGAGCGACCACTACGACCATCACGTGATCCTACCGCTGGACACCCCTACACCCCACACACACATACGATAGTTCGAACGTCGATTTCGTCGATGTCCACCGTGTGCCCCAGAGACTGCATTGTGGGAGCAGGTACGGTGACTTACGCAGGGGTTTATAGTGCTAGTAGACTTGCGTAGCATCTACCTACACTCTCTCCTCCTCCCCCGCCTGAGCCCGGTGTCAAGACCAAGTCAAGAAGACCGGAGACGTGGGAGGTCGCAGGTGGATGGCTTGGACGGATCTTCACCTTGGCGCTCCACTCCGCACCCCCTGGTCCACATACAAATGACCGGGATTTTACCACAATACAATGGAGTGATGACAGCTGTCCAGTTGTGCGACGACTGCCGACAACATTATCTGCCAGCGCACCCCTCAGATGTTGGCATTTGTTATTGCTCACAGATAACGCCTGCCAGAGTCCGATGTGGCCCCCGTGTTGGTCCAGTGCATCTACCACGTGGCCCGTTTTGAGGGCAAACAACAACACAGACACACACACATGCACCGTCTTCGTCATTACTACCGTATGCAGGCACTGTCTCCGTTCGCTCACTGGTTAAACAATGACATGGCCTTAATGCGTTCTTGGCCAATGACAACCACGAACACGACCCAATTGCCGCTCGCGTGCCTCAAGGCGACATCACCTCTCCCCCTCCACCCCTCCCCCTCTGCAAGCTTACTTTATTTTCGAGCAGAGGATGGAGGCGTAGAGACTGGATGCCGCCAGACCAACGGACTGACTCAGAAAGCGTGCTGCGTGGCGTTGATCGCCCATGCCCATCCAACAGTTGACAAATCGGCCGCAGCAGCCTTGGCACTGGCAGACTGGAGAGTTGGGAGTAGGCCAGCGCGTCAGTTCGGCCAGCATCCGGATCTCGAATTCTCGCCGTCGCCCACCGGGATCCGAGTCTCAAGCTCATCGGGCGGGGTGGCTGTGCAAAGCAAGAAGAACAGTGTTCCACCTCCTCCTCGTCCTCCGAGCCTCCTGTGGGTTCATGGTTCTCTGAATGCTGGTGCTTTTTAGACTGCAAGCGGCAGCAATAGCGTGACACAGGGAGTTGGTCCTGGGCTCGACCGCTTCCAGATCCTTAAAAAGACATAATCGTGGCGGATATGCTTTGCGCCAGCACGCAGCCCTGCTTCACTCCGTTGGTCACTGCGAATTCCTCCGAGACAGCTCCATTGTCCGTGGTGCGTGCCATCATGCCATCTTGGAGCTGACGCACTCTCTGACTGAATCGTCCGGGGCAGCAAAATCACCGCATGATTTTCCACTCTTCGTCACAATTCACCCTGTCGAATGTATTCGGCAGCTCCACGAAAGGAAAATGCAAGTGGGTCCGCATCTCCAGACGCTTCTCCTGCAGCTGGTGGGTGACAAAGATCCTGTCCATGGTACCACGATAACGACGAAAGGCGCACTGACT